CCTGACCTAGGGCTGCCCGGATTTGATGAGCTGTCTGCCCTAGCTGCCCGTCCATACACACCAAACGCGTGTGTCAGAGACGGCCGTCGCCACTATCGCCTGCACCAATCCTCTTTGGACGCGTGTCCTCCTGCACATGGGGTAGGCTGTCAGAGGTGGTTATCGCTATCCACCACTGCTTTCTCAACACGTGTCCCCCTGCACATGGGGTAAATATTCTCCTGGAATTCTGTCAGAGGCTTCCTTCACGCGCCTGTGACTAGGCCGAACAGCGTGGTGTTAAGTCCTCGAAGTAGTCGACCTGCTGAGGTCGAATAAATTGCTCGATCGCGTATCTGGTCGAAGGATAGTTCGGTCGACAGCCTTGCTTGGTCGACTAGTTAATTGCTCAATTTCTTTGGCTTCCTCATAATATGACCTCCTCGATCGGTCAACAGATCGGTTCAGCCTTGTGGGTATAATATCCCATATCAATATAAAAGTAATAAATTACATTATTAACATGAAAAATATATCTTAATATAAGTAAAGTATAATAATATTTTAATTGTTTAGGAAACGGTTAATTAAACGGAATAAATCAATTAATTATGCTAGCTTCAATTTGTTTTATGGAAAAAAAAAATTGTTTTGTTTAATCTGCACAATACATATATACATTGTGCACCATAATATTGGACGTATTGCGGCTTAAAAGTTCGTTCAACTTATTTTTCAAAAATAAAAGTTCGTTCAACTTATTTTTCAAAAGTTCGAAAATATTAGATCAAATGATATTTCGAATCGGCCGATTTGGTCAGATCAACTGATAAAAAACTAAACGAGGTGGTAATTTATGTAGTATTACAAGGCATTAATTAAACTTTTATCATATTACACATTTACCCCAAGTAATAAATTAAAATAAAATAAACTTAGACTAATTACAACCAAACCCCTAAACTTGTCAAATTTCCTAAAAAGAACCCACAAATCTAAAACGCAGCCACCGCCGTCCACCTCCGTCGGAGTTCATGCCGGACGTTAACGTCACTGTCGATTTGGTCACAAGCCTTCGTCTTCACAGCCCAATACTTACTAGCCGTCGTCTTTACTGCCCAATACTTGATGGACCTCTTCAACACAACCAAAAAAATAAAAAATAAAAAAACAGGTGGCCGTTAATCCTCATCGCCGCTGTTGTGTGGGGGACGGGAGTGACAGCGATGGCTACGCGGCGGCTGGAACAGTGCAAATGGCAAAAGGTTCGCCGTTTGGTGTCGACGCTTCATTCTCGTTGCCGGAATTACGAGCAGGGACGACGAATGTCAGACACACACGTCGGCGGAGATAGCGGTCTCGTGCGGTGGAAAATGGTAGGTGGTTGCAGCAGCGGAGAACGGCTCGGCGTCTGAAAACGACCGGCGGATGAGGCGGCGGAGAACGACTCGGCGGTGGAACACGGCTCGGCGGCGGTCTGTCCGTGTGTGTGAGTCTGTGTGCTGTGTGTGTGTGGGGGGTGGGGGGTGGGGGGGTGCAGTGGCTGCTGAACGTGTGAAGTGTGTGTTTGTGTGTGTTTGTGTGGTGTAAATATTAGGGTTTGGTATGTGAGTAAAAATTACACTATTACCCTTTTATAAATATATTTGTCCAATATCTGACCATTTAATTACAAAAATGCCATTGCTTGTTTGACTTTAATTACTAACATTTGACTTCATCAAGGTCATTGATATGTTATATCTAATGGTTCACAATCATTCTTATTTCTTTCATTATCTTTCATTCTCATATGATCCCTTCTCTATATATGTATATATATTTTTTGTACAATTTATATATGTCGGTTCAGTTATTCTTTCTTACGGTTCAGATATATATAATTTTTTAATTATTTAAGTTAATTTGATGTACAATTATACACATAATTTATACATGATTTATCTGGAAAGGAACTTAGCTAGTGCACTTTATATACATGATACGTTGCACTTTATACATTAATATGTTGCACCATGTAACACAACATGTTGCACCGTATAAAAATGTTTCATTATATTTCATATATTTCATAATTATAAATACAAAATATATTTTTTCATTAAATAAATCTTTTGGTAAATGCAAAAAATTTTTTAGTAACATACACATTATTATAAGTTTCTTAAAAATTTAAATGAACGTAATAAAAAAAAGTCCGGCTCATTATTGATTTATGTATTTTATATAATATCTCATTTCAACCGCGAATAATATAAAAATCTGAAATATAAATATTATAACACTAAAAAAAATTTGTATTATATAAATAATATATTATTTAATCGAAATACTTGGTTAGTAAACCGAATAAACTAATTATTTAGATTCAGAATTTGTTTGGGTTGTGACAAAACATTAACATTATTTGATTGCACGTTAAAGTTAGACGAACTGCACTTTAATTAATATCTGATTGTACAATAGTAACTATACTTGACCGAACTAAATTTCGCAGTTCAGAATTTTATATTTTTGGTGATTGCACAAAATCGAAATATAAATTTTATTTAAATTTTTATATTTTGGTTCAATTATATTTTTTTACATTACAAATCTCTATTATTTTGGTTTGATGTTAATTTTTTCTTTATTTTTTTCATTAAAAAATAATTGTACTTTGAATATGCATTACTGTCAGAATGATTGCACGTTAATGTCTTTCGGTTGCACTTTAACTCTATATGGATTGCACATTAGTGATTATCGGATTGCACTATAATGACTATACCCGATTGATTTTTTTTTTGTGCTCGAATTTTATGTCGAATCGATTATATGTGTTTACTTTTAAAATTTTAGTTATTTCAGATCATGTTTGTTTTATTGTTTTAATTATTTAATTATTTTTTAATAACTGAAATAACAAGACCGACCGAACTATATAATAATACTTTTTTGTATAGAAAAATATTATTTTTTTATCAAAATAAATAAAATGTAAGATAAAATTATTAATGTGCAATTTATGTAACATTAAAGTGCAATTGTAATCATCCTAACATGCAATTTACAAACATTAATGTGCAAGTGTTTATATGTTTTATAAATTATAAATTTGACCTATGGATTGAATTGTAATATATTAAAACTTATAAAATTGCAATTAAGTACATTAACTATATCAAACTTTCAAAAAACAAGCCACAAACTCTAAAAATGCAAAATTGGTGTATGTGGTCTTCCTTCTGCCGGCGACACGGCGGGGCTGTGGCGGCGACAGGCTCAGTGGCGGCGGGCAAGGGCTGGCTCGGCAGGGGGGCGGTTCTCGCCGCCGGCGACCTGCAACTTCTCCGGTGAGGATGTGACATGGCGGAGAATAAGTGGGTCGTGGTGGCAAGGAAGTTTTAGTCTGACTGATGGCGGAGGCGATGCAGATGGCGGATGGCGGTGACCTGCGATTGGAAGATGATGGCGGACGGTGGACGACGGATGGTGGAACAAGGTGAGAATGCTGTGGCCGGATGGATGAGGCGGAGCGGCGGACTCGTGGCTGAAGATGGAGGCGAGGTGGAGGTTTGTTGACGGCTGCGATTGCGGTGGCCGTCGACGCGAGCACCTTCACCGTGAGCTTTGGAGAAGTTGCCATACTCGACGGACGGATGGCGGCAGCGGTCTGACGACGACGGCGACATGATCCGAGGACTCGTTGCAGTCGGGTGGCGTGCCAGAATCGGTGTGGCAGGCCGTGACCTGTGAGCTTCCGGTGCCGGCGGTGTCCAGGAGGGAGAAGGGTAGATAGCACGGGAGAGTGAGAAGAGAGGAGGGAGGAGAGAGGAGAGAGAAGAGAGGAGAGAGGAGGAATTTGTTACAATGAATATGTGTGGGGCCCACAGATAATGGGTCAAAATTACATATTTGTCCTAAATGGTTATATTTGATCCAATAATGTTCCATTAATTACAATAATGCCATCGCAATTTTGACTTTTTTTATTACTTTTGCCTTCATCATAGCCATTGATGTAGTGGATCCAATGCTTCAATTTCATTCTTATTTCTTTCATTGTGAATCATTCTCATATGATCCCTTACCTATATATATATATATATATATATATATATATATATA